ACCAGAGGCCCCTCTTACCTCTGCGACTAACAGCAAGGTCTTGTGCTGGACAATCTTGTTATAGCAATTATGCATATAACAATGTATGCTTTAGCATCCACTATCACCTGTCATCAAGTATAATCTTGACAACATATATCTATTCACGCGGATGCAAGGAAGAAATTGCTATGCTACGACCTACCACAAGAGACGGCAAAAAGGCCGTAGCCAGCTCCTTGGTCGGTAGATCGTATCCTCGTGCATGACTGGGCTCTATCTGCTTTCGTTTGCTAGAATCGATGTTTTCTCCTTTCATTGGTCATATTACAGCTTGTTGGTGGCTCGAGTCGAGATTTTCTCGATTCATCCATTCTTCCACCACTCTTTTTCCGATTAATCCTTGCTGGCTGATATTCTTCATCATATATATATTCATTCATATATTTCCACACGCTGATGTTATTGCGTCGCCAAATGGTTCTTAATAATCCGCGACGTCCCGATTACGGCCGAGCGAGATAATCTCTCCAGGAGATTATCACACTCGTCAGATCTCAGGCCGAAAGCAGCACGGAGATCGGTCATCGTTACATTCAAATGTTCTCAGCACATACCAACGTTGGTCTTTACTTTAATTAAAAGCCTGGATTAAAGCCTTAACCTGAGAATCAAAAAAGCTACAGAGGTGAAATCTTATAATGTAGAAATGAGCAAGCTTTCCAGTCTCGTTGCTCCGCACTTTTGCAGCACGTTACAGGGCAATGATCTCGACACCGAGAAAGGCAAAAAGCCGAAAATTTGGTGACATATATGTACTGGAGAGACGGGAAAATCGTCTTGGAAAACCACAGCCGCATGCGCATTTTTAGGCAGATTTTACTGGTGGGCAACCAGAAAGCTTGAACCAGAAATTTTCATGCTGAAACCCTGTCATACTTTGTTTTAGCACTAACCTGTGAACGCTTGGTAAACTGCAAAAGCTTCAAGCAGCGGCTTTCCTTTATCCATCCATATTCTTTCCGATCCTCCTCATTGAAAGGTACAATTGTCGAGCCAAACTTATATCCTAAAACACAAAAGTAGAAACTTCGAAAGAAACACGTATAACCTAGTAAAAAGCCTATAAAGTATTCCGGAATTAGTTTTGGAAGAATATTTCATTCCAAAAAATACTCATAAATTTTGAAAGAAAACTCACAAGTTTTGAAAACATACAGCTCTGCATAACAGCAAGACCCCGCAAAAAAAGAAATTGAAAAATATTGCTACAAAAATATAAAATTAACAACAGAAGTAGAAAAAATTAAAATCGAAAAAAACCATTACACCGAAAGGCGTCAAAACAGTTTACTCTTTCTAAAAGATTTAATAATACGCCGCATAAAAGTGAAAAGCTTTGG